TTAATTCGGTGCTACTATATGATGCTGCTTAGGAGCAAATAGCACATTCGGCGACAGAGGCGGTTGCCCATAGCACATTTGTTGCCGAGTCCTGCAGATGTCGATACACGAAATCCCCCAGCTGAGATACTGCTATGATGCTGCCGACACTGCTCCTTGCGGTCGCAGCCAAGATCTTCTCGATGATCCCCGCGACCTTGGCCGACCATGCAGAGAGACTCAAGCATTAGGTGGATGTTTCTTTACACACATAAATACATATACATAGGCGCACAATTGTGTGCCTATGTATATGTATCTATGTGTGTTAACTAATATTATGTGCGATATATGTAATGTGCTGGTCCATGCATGCATGTGTAGACATCAATGTAGCAATATATGTACACATACACACATGCATGGTGCAACCACTATTCTTCTTACTGCGGGTAATAGGAGGGTGTGGGTATGTACAAATAGGTCTTCTGTATGTGTGTACATATTTATATACGAGGATTAAGGAGTTATACATGCATGCCGGTACGGTGCTACTTGTTTTGCTTCGGTGTATTTATGTCTCTCTCCAAGATGGACGCGTTGTACAAAAATATGTGTTGTGGTCGCGCGAGTGACAATATATGCGCCTCATGCGACATTCAACGGCAAGCGAATGCGGTCATGCCATGCAGTCGGCCATGGAACATGCTCGGAATCGCGAGATCTTCATGCTTGCCATGCAGTGACGCAGCAATTAAGAACATGTTTTCAAATCGCAATCCGGATGCGTTCATGATCAGTCGCCTTCGTCCGTCCTTGTTTGTCTTCGCAGATCGCTCAACCAATGCCATGCAAAGCGGAATCGGTCTTCCCATCTTGATTTGCTGAGGGCTTTGCTGCACTAGCAGTGTTGCACGTATAAATCATAAGTCGTCCGTCATGACTCGCAGATCCCGCGGCAACCATGAAGAACATAGCATGGACGATCTCTTGGCAACCTGGGAATCATTCAAGATACTGCAAAGTGTTGACCGGCCATGCACTCAGCTATAGTCGTCCGTGCACCCACATCCCAATGCCCCGAAGTATATACTACCCGTAGACCCCCCAAAAAAAGAAGTCGTCATATGCCTCATCGTTTCATCAAGACAGATCGCACAACCGCGGCACATGGCCATGAGCTAATGAATCAGCACCCTCTGTGCGGCTTTATTGCCGGAGCTCGTCACAGAATGAGCTCATCACGTAGCCTCCTTCGTTCTTAAGTCAGATAGCAGCAGCCGGCCAAACGTTACATGCGTGCTCAGGTAACTCTGCGGCGGTAGCGATAGCGTTGCGCACAGTGTTGCACGTAGCTGCAATAGCGTTGCGTACAGTGCATAATGGTAGCTCGAGTGTCCCGCAGTACGATGTTGCTTTGTGAGCTGCCGAGTGCTGCTAAAATCGCACATGTCTAGGACCTTCAATTACCGTTCATTATATTGACTTCGGGGTTCCCGGCTGTTTCAAGATGGAAGGATTTCGGTGGTTGCATTTGAACATGCACACTATCTATCGGAAACCCTACACACTTAACCCAAACAATCGCAGCTATAGATCTGATCGGTGTATGTGTAGTCTCGAACAACCCAAATCCTAGATAGGACCTCAGAATCTGACGTTTTCGATGTTCTATGCACATGCATACTTCTCCGAAGAGCATATGAACTAAAAACAGAACCCCAACAGCGTCGCTGTTGTACCAGATGATGCCCAATATCCTATACGTCAACCATGTAAACCCCATACAGCCACCGCTTTTCCCAATAGCCCTGATTGGAAACTCAGATAGCATGTGTTTGCCGTCATGTGACCCAAGCCTATGTGGCACGTGTTGCCACACCCTTGAATTTTCACTATCATGCACACACACAGACACACCCTCAAGCCCAACAATGAACTCAATCAAAAGATACACTAGCCAGGGCCTGCATAACCCTTATTCTGACTCGAAGCCTTGATACAAAGTCCTGCAGTAATTGAACCCTACAGGATCCTATAAGATCTAAACCCGAAGCCCGGGACCCCTATAAACCCGTGCACCCAACCCTAAACCCCTGCACCCCTAAACTCCTGCAGCCCTATAAACCCGAAACCTGGTGCGGTGAGTGCGCCCTACATAATCAACACCCCGGAAAACAGCAGAAGGTGTCAGAACATACTTGCGACACTGTTACAAGCCCAAAGCCCTGCAACAATCCCAGAGTACAACCCTCTAATGTCACAGTCTTCCAAGAACCGACACGACCCCTTCAAAGCCCCACAAAAGTCAGGAAGCACCAGAATTGAGACCTAATTCGTACACACATACAGTAAAGCTCCGACTTCTTAACCCAAGGAACTAACTGTTCCATTAGCCCAAACCCGCATGTAGCTGTATTCTCTAAACAAAGGCCGCCCCTGTATGTAGAGTTAAGACTGCGTGATCTGAGGTTACCACATGAAGACCCAACTCGAGCAGGGAATCGCAAAGAAGACGAGGCCGCCTTCGATGGTGTGGCGAACCTTAGATATATAGTTTCGGTGTTCGGTCTTTTGCTGTATTTTCCGTAAGCTTTGGAATCTGAGCGTCGAGGTTCAATGCCAGTAGAAAGCCGAAGCCACTGCAGAGATCCATTTGGGGGGATTCGATCACCTCGGGCACGTGTGTGCAATGAGCACACTTGTTTCGAACAACTCAACCGCAGCTTGTATAATGCCGAAACGACACATCGTAAGTCCTCGAAGCCAGGCCCAATGATTTAGCAGCAGCCGCCAGTGTTCCAGTTCCTCACATATATGTGCCGGACTGCGTAGTTGAAAGGGTTTGTTTGGTTTAATTGTGTCGCATGCAGGCAAGAGGCCTGCAAAAAACTCCACCAGGTGGACATACTTGTCTGTCTCCAATGGCAAACCTGCATGCAGGTTCGTACATAACTGGCATCGACTTGCAGTGCTGATGTGGAGCAGCTGGGTATCTGGCTCGCATTCAGGCTCGTGAGGATGTAGGCCAGCACGGAGTAACGCATGCTTGCCGACTTGAAACGTTTTCAATGTAAAGCTGGGCACTGGTGCTAGTTTCAGAAAGCTTGCCTGACCTAGTTACACAGGAGACCGTGCACACATGCAGGCAGGCTGGTGCATCTAGCTTGCGAAATATACCGACTGCATGCACGCATTCATGGACACAAGCTTTGGATGCATGCCGATCGGCACCTGATTCGAAGGATCATGACATTATATCGGAGTCGCTCACTGTTTCGCCTAACCCCCGGCAGCTGTGTGATCTACTTGAAAGATATCTCGCAGTCGTTCGTGACCGGAACAAAATGTGACGACACAAAGGCGGCTTGAAGTCGCAATGAAAGAGTGTTACTTGCAATGCCAAAGCAGGATTGAAGATCGACGGATTACCGGTGCATCAAAATTTAAGCCTGCCCCATGCAACTCGTCATCTCATCTAGATTCTAGATATAGCGGCGCTTCTTCTGCTCCTTAACCGGAATGGTGGAGAGGACAGTCGTACGCTCATCCGATACCCACCACCTTGGATGCTTCGTCTAAGCACACAAGAGCAGGAATGGCAGCACACGTGTATAAGCCGACAAGGCACCGATCCCTCACGTTCTTCAACTTGAGGTCCGGCTCGAGCTCCAAAAGCCTCATTCTCGAAGCTACACCATGATTGCGAATCCACGAAACGAATTGAAGCGACATCGTTTGAGCATCTATGTGCGGCTTGGTGGCTGTTCCTTGAACGACTCAAAAGCGGCTGTGTAGGGGGTTACGCTTCCATCTTGTCTGGTCCTTGCTTTGGCCTTTGCCTTGGGTTTCTTGGGGGTGGTCTTTGCTTTCGCCTTTGCTTTGGCCTTTGCTTTGCTCTTTGGGCTTCCTTTGGGCTTCTGGTACTCCACTGGCTGCTTGCTGGCCAGCACCAGCCTCTGGGCATGGGGATTGATCGGCCGGGTCGAACGATCCGGCTTGCCAGGAAATGGATGTACCGGCTCCTTGGACTCTCTGTTTGTCTGTCTCTCTCTCTCTCTCTCTCTCTCTCTCTCTCTCTCTCTCTCTCTCTCTCTCTCTCTCTCTCTCGTCTATGTCTGTCACTCCCTTCCATATAAAGACATCCATGTTTAAAGCTGACCAGACTCTGGCTCCGTCGTGACTCGGGTCTTGTCTTTCGCTGCCTATATGTACATCGACATGATACATGTACCCATATACAAACCTGTATATATATATATATACACACAGCTAACCTGCATGCGCATATGCATGTGGATCACTCGATTCGGTGGCATGCGCCTCCTTGGCCTCCTGCATGTCGTGATTGACCAAATCATCATTCTGCCCTTCGTCGGGTTGCTCAGGTTGCTCCTGCACCAAATCAACGGCAATTGTATTGTTTGTGCGGAAGCTAGGCGTGTGCAGTCGAGCCTCCTCGTCCAAGTCGATGCCCATGGTCTGGATGAAGCTCTCGTAGATCTCGTCGTTGGTGGGGTCCGGGAAATCCTTACCACCACTACTGCTACTGCTGCTGTGCCGATGCCTGCTGGTCAGATGCTCCTGCTCGAATTCATGTAACTGCAGATCGACACCGACATGTTGCTAATTAATGCTATATGCGGTTGGTGGCCTGATCATCTGGGTGCTCGTTCTCATCCATCGGCCACTCCCTTAGATCATGCAGTATATGTGTCGTCGCACTGACAACAGCAAAATTTCCGAGCGGCTCTGTCTGGCCAGGATCCATAGCCACATCCTTCGGCAGTGCTAGTACTGCTGCTGATCTATATTGAATTGGAAAACCATCAATCTACTGCAATATTGACAATTCATTGCTGTTTGGCAGCTGGCAACTCCAACGAGGATCCATTCTCATCACGCCAGGAGATTCGTCGATGCAAAGCTGGCTTCTTCTCAGCCTCAATTCGGCTGCTACGTACTGATCTGTCATAAACCCGTACCATCGATCGGCTCTACATCCCGAACTGCTCTGCAACTCACTGCTGTCTGGCAGCAGGCCACGGATTCTGGGGATCTGAATCTGCAGACGCCTCGACCCACGTGTTATCCCAGCCTTCATCAGCAGGCCACGGATTCTTGGGATCTGAATCTGCCGAAGCCTCGCCCCACGTGTCATCCTGATCACCGGTAGACCATGGATTCTCTGGGCCAGCGTCTGCGACCCAAGACTCGGCTTGGCCATCATCGTCACCCCATTCCCCTGCGTGTGATCCACACATCAGATTATACGCACGAATTAAAAGATCACCGCAATAAAAACCTGCCTGCAGGATGGTGCAGTGCATCGTCCCCGGAGTCCTTGAGAATCGCAGAAATGACTATCAACCATGTGGGCGCATGCATGGTATATGTACATGTGTATACGAATGCAAGCCTGCAGGTGCCCAGACATCCATGAATCATCGCAAAGAGCCTGCGTGCACATAACAGTGTAGTTTTCATTGGTGATCTATATAGGCTGTAGCACAACTGGCCTTGTACTCAGCATCCTCATCCTCATCCTCATCCTTCCAGTCACCCCAGATCCTCGTGGGCGCATCCAAGGTAGCCACCGATTCAGCCGACGCAGCCTGCGTTCATGGATCATTTGGGCGACGGTGCAAAAATGACGTTACAAGTTCAGACCGCGTGCAACTGACTGCAGGCACAAGACTGGATGCACACATGACCTGCTTCAGGGTTTCCGATTAGCGTTTGCAGGCCAGGCTTTAGGGCCTAATTTAGAGGCGATGCAAGCTATGTCTGGATCTCTACACGTATGTATACGCACTCCTTTCGAATTTCCCTCTCGTGTCCGAACTAAGTTCGTGTTTGCTGTGTCGTCTATTTTTTTCTCGTTTGTAGCACCGTATGTAGATAAGTGCTGGTACATAATTAAGTATACATGCTAGAAAATGGGTGCATGCATGTACTGGGCCTTGCGCTTCAGTGCGCTTTTGCGATGAAGTCTGACCTGATTTTTACATCTGGTCGCATGCAGACACTTCTTGCATGAAGCAGTCATGTATATTGCTCTCGGGTGGCTGGAGGAGGATCACCATCATGCGCAGCCGGCGCTGCAGCCCTTTCCTGCAGCAGTATATGTCATGCACTGATCCTATATGTGCATGTCGGTATTCGTCCTCCGTGCTCCACGGCTGAGTTTCCGCATCATCCATGGCTGCAAGGGCTTCTTTGCCACGTGGTGGCACCAACGAGTTCTTAACAGACCGTTTGCAAAGATGCTGTATCGTTTTGGATTGCCTCTTCAGCCAGTCTGCTCGAGTGAGCCCGTCAGCCTGACACAACGGCACCTCTACTTTGTAGTGGTCGAGCAGGCGTTCTAGCGCACGGTTCACAGCTGTTTTGGTAAAGTACCGGGGCTCATGAACAGCACCACACCACGCAAAGGCTTGTCTGCAACACAGGTATTTCAGGGAACTCTTTGGAGCTAGCGGACCTGTCCGGCGAACCCTTTCGCCTTGATCAGGGCGCACACAACTCAAGTGCAACTGGGCCGCTATGTGCCGAGCTTTCCGCCCGATGTCTTCGGACATTTGGCCAGACAGCTGCAGCAACATCAAAATATGCGAGCGACATATCAGCGAGCATGTCTAATACTACTAATTCGAATACATTCTCTAGTAATTGTTGAGGATTCCACATTGATTCTGATTGAAATCATCATAATCATTGAAGCATCATGAGCAAAATGTTGCTTATACCACGCGAAAATCAACAAAAGTCACGAAGAAACTTTGATCACGACACCGGAAATCAGGAAGCAGAAGCGATGCTTCCAAAAGGCATATTTATAAGGACGCTTAATTTATAAGGACGCTCAGCCATATAAAGCCGATTGACACGTGATGGTGGGGGGTCAAATTGCAATTGCACTGGCATGTCGGCACGAGATTGGGAGGCCTGCTAACACATCATTCTAGGTTTGCTTTTCTTCTGAGGCCATCATCCTGCCTGCTGCTCGGCCTCGTGCCCCACCCACCCAGACACGTGCACACCTGTGTTTTTGGCTATCAGCAGCCAGGCTGGAGAACCGCTGGCGGCTGTTTTGGTTACCAGCAGCCAGGCCGGAGAACCTTCACATCCAAATCTGGGCCCGGCCCCTACCTAGCCCCTAGAAGCCAGCCCCATGGGAGATTATAATGACAAGCCAGGTGGGCGACCCTTCACATACTTTCTGGGGCCCGGCTTGTCATTATAATCCCCCTTGCGGCCGGCTCCTAGCCACCCCCTAGAAGCCAGGCCCCAGAATGAATATGAAGGCAGTCAGCCCCGGCCTCTGAGAGGAGATAATGACTTTATAATGACTTTTGTCATTTGCTCCGCCGGCTCCTAGTACTACCTTAGGAGCCAGCCAAATTAATGACTTTTGTCATTTGTGAGCCCTGCTAATGACATTTGTCATTTGTTGTCCGGCTGCTGATTCAGGTGCTGGCAAAGCTTTGGCTCAAATTTTGCTGCAAATGTCGTGGAAGAAGCCATGTGTTCAATGGCAAGACGACTACAATGACAAGTCAACCTGGAAGCAGCTTCATGCAGGAGCTGAGCTTGTGTTGGGATGGAAGAAGCCTGCTGCGGGGGAAGTGGCAGAGCCTGAGCCTGGTCCTTTAAAGAAGAGGAAAACTACTGACTGGAAGCAGTGCGGAGCTGACAGTTACAGTTTGCTGTCCACTGTTTCCTGTTCCTCTTCTTCCCCTTCTTGGAAAAAGCCAGACATTAACATGTCACAGGATGCGAGGCCAGTAACTCAGAAAGCTGGCAAAACTGTTCGGCATCATGTCTCCTTGGATGTCCCCATGCTGTCATTGGTGGCTACAATGGACGAGGAGGAGCGTGTCATGACAGAGTACAAGAAGAAGGCACTGGATCCAGAGCGAATTGCCAGAGTGTTGCTGGGGGCTTGCAGTTGTAAGAGCAATTGCTATGGCGTCTTCAAACCAGCAAAGATTCTGGAGGTTTGCCAATTGTGGCACTCAATGTCAGATGAGTCCCAGCACCACTTCTTGAATGCACAATGGGAGAGCAGTGCTGAGAATCATTGCCTGGATGACTCTGATGGAGAGCAGCTGGCTCACCGCACAACCTGGTATTTGGCAGGGCATCAAGTGTGTTTGCCAGGTTTGTGCTCCCTGCTGGGTGTTGGAAACAAGGCCATGGCAAAGAAGCTGCAGGGGGTAATTGATCAGCGCCGCAAAATCAACAATTGTGAGCCAGTGGCTACAAGGCCTCCCTTGCAGCGGAATTTGACATGCATGTTTTTTTTGGAGCTCTACCACCAAAGTGCAGAGGATTTGCCTGAAACTTTGCAAGTGCAGCATGTGGATGACAATATCTCTGCAAGCACGGGTGAGCAAGACTGCGATGCTCCTGTATACATGCGGCAAATATCCACTGAGTCAGAGATCTTCTCGTGGACACCTGAAGCAGCCATTGTTCAAAACATCATGGCACTGTCCACTGTCGATCTGTCCACTGTTCCAGTCCGGCATTTGCCACCAGGCAAGCTCATGACTTTGTTTTGGCAGTTTCAGGCCTGGTGTGAAGCCGTGCAAGGAATGGCTGGCCATAACCAGGCAATTCAAACGCCGTCATGGTCGACATTCTGGAGAGTATGGTGGGACAAGTGGTCGTCTGTGCTGAAGTTCCGAAAGGTTTCGCAGCACAAAGAGTGCAACACATGCCACTGTCTCCGTGAGAAGTTACATGGAGGCTTAGCTCAGCATTGCACTTTCTTTGAGTTTTCAGTTCCTTTGTGCCCATGTTGTTTGTGATCTTAAGTAAGGAAAGAAGGGCAGCACCAAGGAGAAGATGGCACTTGCACGAGACTGGCGTGAACATCTTCGTGCCCAATACCATGATCGCCTCATCTACTGGAGCCTGCGGTGGGCATCACGGGCGTCGTTGGACGTCCTGACCATCATCATAGATTCCATGGATCAAGTCAAGACAGCGTGGCCTCAGTACAAGTTTGCACGCAAGCCGCATTCATTGGAAAACCTGCAGAGGCCACGAGTCATACTGTCTGCTGTTCTCTGTCATGGCTGGTGCACCAATGTTTTCATTGCAGATGAAGCTTTGCACCATGGGGCAGCATCTTTTTGTGAGTTGATTGCCCGCAGCCTGGACAATGTGGCAGAGATTGCTGAGAAGACGGGCCGGGCATTCCCGCGACACCTTGTCGTCCAGGCGGACAACACCACGGCCCAGAACAAAAACTCGCTGGTGTCATTGTTCCTCGCCCATTTGGTGTCAGAGGGCAAGTTTTTGACGTGCACCTTTAACTTTCTGACAGTGGGACACACCCATGAAGATGTGGATCACTTCTTTTCCTTGATCCTGTCCACTGTCCTCCGTCCTTGCCGGTTTGAGGTGCCAGATGAGTTGGTGGCCCTTTTGAAGGAAAAGATGGAAGGGTTTGTGTCTGGAAAGGGGGAGGCGCTGTATGTGGAGCAAGTGGTGCACATCAGGGACTTTGACACCTGGCTTGGGCAACTCAAAGTGACGCTTCGCAACTGCTTTGTTTCCAGGGCTGGAAGGCTGGCGGCCCACTCATTTGTTTACAAATGCCGCTGTCACTTGACGCCCAGAGAACTGGAGCAGCTGCCTCCCAGCCGGCGTGGTGTGGAAGAGCATGACCATGATGTGTTCGCTCTCACGAAAGGACGCATGCATGCAACTTCTTTTCATGCTCCTGTCCTGGCCCTCCCGCGAAGGAGAGTGGAAGACTGTTCACTGTCGCCTGTTCCCTGTGACTTCAAGATTCTCGCAGAAGGGGCCGACAATGAGAAGTTACTCAAGAAACTGGAGAACTTGGCCGACACACTTGAGTCCCTGCCGCATGATTTTCTACGTGCTGTTGCTCAGCTCTGAAATGCATTGGCTTTGTCTTAAATCCAATTTTTTTCCGAGGGCTTATGTTGATTTGCCATGCCCTTGAATGCCCAGGTTCCACTATTGCGTGAACGTTGTGAACGTCTCCAAGCGGGCCGCGTTGCTGGGGTAGATGAGGACCCACCCCCGCTGAAGTGGTTAGCTGCAGCGGCACCAGAGCGAGCTGAAGTGCCATTGACAAGGAACATGTACTATGAGCATTTGCCTGACACTTCCTGGCAGCTGCTGACGACGTTTCATCGGTTGCCCCGCCGGAACAGAGAGGAGTGACAAATGGCTCATGAGCAGTTCAATTGTGCTGTTGTGTTTTCGTGCATTCCTTGCAGAGTCAGAAGTTGATGTTGACCTGTTCTCCGCAGCTGTCGACGGTTCACTGTCGACTGTTCACTGTCCCCCTGTTCCCTGTCGTGGGTAGCATGGCCCACGCAAGTTGGGTGGAAAGTGCCGAGTCCAAGGCAGTTGTGGAGAAGGTGAAGAAGAGCATCTTGACAGCTGTCGGTGGCTCCTTGGACCCAGAGAGCTTTGATTGCGTGCATGTGATTGATTTCATCCAGACGAAGTACCCGGAGCCGGACCTGCTGAAGAACTGCTTGGAAGGGCTGTATCAGAGAACCAGGCTGGTTGACCCTACTTGGGTGCACAATGCCACGGTGGATACAGTTCCAGCACCACCAGGGCC